ATAAGTTTCAACCATGATTCTGTATCATTTCATTTTCTAAATTTTTGCCTGTGCTTTCCCCTGTTTAGGGGAAAGCATTTATCTCCTTTTTTTTTTTTTTTTATTTAGCTGTCAATTGCTCACCCTGTAAGGGTTTATTTGCATACCACTCCTTCTGGAAGCCTTATTGACTTCCCTACCTTCTGTGAGAATGCATGTTTTCCAAAGACGATCACAACAGTATCTCCCAGCTTGCATCTTCTTACAATATAGCTTTGACCTTTCTTCTGTGGGGTCTATGTTCCTTTACCTTGAATCTGGGCAATGGTGAAAGTGTTGCTTTGTGACTTTCAAAGGTAGCCCATAAAAGGAGGCACAGCTTCTGCCTGATTCTCTTGGGACACCAGCCTTTGGAACTCAGCCAGCATCCTGTGAGGAAGCCCAGGCTCCACAGAAAGCCCATGTGTAGATGTTTTGGCCCATAGCCCTAGCTGTGGTCCCAACTCCCAGATAGCATCAACCTCCAGACATAAAAATAAATGAGTCTGGGCTGGGAGTGGTGACTCACACCAGTAATCCCAGCACTTTGGGAGGCTGAGGCAGGTGTATTACCTGAGGTTGGGAGTTCGGGACCAGCCTGACCAACATGGAGAAACCCCCGTCTCTACAAAAAATACAAAATTATCTGGGTGTGGTGGCCCATGCCTATAACCCCAGCTACTCAGGAGGCTGAGGTAGGAGAATGGCTTGAACTCGGGAAGTTGAGGTTACAGTGAGCTGAGATCATGCCATTGCACTCCAGCCTGGGCAACAAAAGCAAAACTCTGTCTCAAAAAAAAAAAAAAAAAAGAAAAGAAAAGAAAAAGAGAGAGAGAGAGAGAAAGAGACTGAATGAGCCTTCATATAATTTTTCCAAGAAGACCTAGTTTTTTTTTTGTTTGTTTTAATTGGAGAATTATATTAGAAACCCAGATGTCTTTGGTAGATGTGTTCATTGTTACTGGGCTGGATCATGTTTAAAGAAATGGCCAGGAGGGGTGGCTCACTCCCATAATCCCAGCACTTGGGGAGGCTGAGTTGGGTGGATCACAGGGTCAGGAGTTCAACACCAGCCTGCCCAACATGGTGAAATCCTGACTCTACTAAAGATACCAAAAATTATCTACGTGTGGTGGTGAGTGGCTGTGATCCCAGCTACTCAGGAGCCTGAGGCAGGAGAATCGCTTGAACTATACATCCAAATTTAACTATAATTGTCAGATGTTCTGGCTTGTAGTTGTGGCCATTTTCTTGTTTCACTAACAATGGATGTTTCTCTTTTAAAATTCTTTTTATTCTTGTCAGTGGGTTTTCTTGTAGAATTATCTCTTCCCAAGCTTTACTTACATTTACCTTGGGACCTTGCAAGAAATGTAGGTTTTTAACTATAGTGTATATAAACGTATATCAAGAAAGCTCAAATTTACTCAAATATATAAAGAGAAAAGTTGTAAGATCTGTATGTCATTTGCTTTGTTTTAATATAAAAACCTGCCTGCCTTATTCTTAAGGTGAGAAAGCTTTTTTATAGTAGGTAGATCTGCTCTCTCTGTTTGATAACTGGGGAAAGAAACTGAAGTGTTTCTAGCATATTTAACTTAAATCTAAACAAAGCCTGATCATTTCGAGCCCGTGACTCCTGTTTGACTGTATCTTTGGTTCCAATGATAGAGCTAAGTGGTCTGTTTAAATCTTTACTGGGGACTTTTAACTGCCTATTTATGTAGTATCTATGTAATGCTTGTCCAATTTTATGCACCTGAACACTTTTGTCTTAAATTTAGGATAAGAAAAAAGTAAATACAGTATCCAGCCTTTAGGGTAAATACAATATTAATGAGTGTATTAGTACTTTCCCTCCTCACTCCCATATCAATTGCAGTACATAGTCAATTCTGGGTATGTGACGTCTCCAAGGAAATTAACTGAGCTAAGGGTTGGGGACAAACAGCCTTTCTGACTGCTCATCAACGGGTCCCCATCAGTCTTTGGAAGGTGACCTGGTTCCTAAAGATAGATACTCAAGGTAAAATTTGTTCTGTTTATACTGAAAGACTTGCCTCAGGAAGGGACTCAGCTTGAATGCATTCACCTGCTTGGTATGAATTATTGTCTCCTTGAAAGCTCTGAAACTAGGAACGTTCTACTGGGTAAATGTAGGTGTAAAAGGAAAGATATATATATTTCTTAAAAAGTCTGCCTGGGATATTGACCCCAGCATTGCCATTTTAGAATAGATGCTTTAAAAGCTGGCATAATCTATTCAATGTTCCCTTTTCACCTTGCCTTGATGGCTGAGTGTGTCCTGTAGGGGAGTCACAACTACTTTTTGTGTGTTGAGCCTCAGCTCAACAGAAACAAGCAGGTTCTCTGGGTATAGCTAAGGAACTCTGAGGAAGGCCCTCAGCCTCTTGGACAGAAGGATCATAGGCTGTGCCTAATGAAAGAGTGCCTGGACCCTCTACATTCTTCCTTCCTAACTCAACCCCCCTCTGTCTTTTTATCTCCCTTGCATGGGACACACCCTATTTCCATCTCAGTCTTTGTATTTATTTATATCCCATAAATACTGCGATAATTCTTCACCAAATCTCTACCTGGAATGATAAGGCCCTGAAAAAAGGATAAGCAGATATGGCCACTCTTAACACAGACTCCAGAGCCTTTGGGGTGCTGGGAAGCCTGGCATATAGAATTTGGACCCTTGGACACCAGCAGAAACAGAATGTCACCTGCCTGCAGTTGCTCCAGTTGCTGCCAACTAATAAAAGGGCAGCGTGAAATCTTCCTGGGGTGTTGTTTCTCCACTATGTGTCCCACAGACTGCTCTAACTGGGTGACCTCCTCTGACATTCAGAGGTCAGCTCCCACCCAAAGAGTGTCCTGGACTTTGCTGTCGCCTAGTGCCACATCCTTGGGATGGAGAGGTCTTCCTAATATCTCTTGAAAATATTCCCCAGAGGATCCTGGATTCGCCCTAGAGCATTGTCTATGGTTCTTTGAATTGTGGAGAGACAGGAGAAGACAGGACAGAGCTTGCATTTGCCCTGGATCTATTTCCTGGTGAAGACATATTATAAACCACTAACTCATTTTACTCAATCTTCTTGTTTTGGCTTCCAGTAGCCTGTGGGACAACATATTCTCATCAGTAACAATGACTGGCAATGGATGGGATCCTTCCCAGGACTGGAGTAGGTGGAGAGCAAATTCGTCTCCTCAGGAACATGTATTGAAATCTCTGAGGTAGAGGCATATGCAGTTTTCATAAGTCCCCGGGGGATTTTGATGTACGCACCTTTTCAACTCTTCATTACTTCCGTCATTTTAAGCTCCACACTGGCACTTCTTACATTAATCTAATAAGTAAAATTTCGACAATAAACTTTTCACAAACCTATTCATTAATCTGGATTCCAAATTGAAGGGGAGAAGTGATTCTTTTATCCATTCCCTCACTCTTGCTGATTTGTTTAAAGAATGCGGGTGCACGGCATTTTATTTTATAAATAAATAACAATTTCTTTATTTGAAAAAATACTACCTAGATAAAATTCATCTAATGAAGCTGCCAGAGTGTGGTGGGGCCACAGCTGTACACATTTATACACTGGTGAGCTCTTAAATCGTGGGTTCTGGGAAAAGATAGTTCCGTTCATGGAAAACTGAAGTAGTAATTGTCCTCACCGATTGTATGAAAAGTAAGAACAGTGGTGTCACACAGAAAGATGAATTATATTAGTCTCTGCTTAGAGAGCTCCTATGCTAAATTAAACCTGATACTAGGCCTAAGGGGATTGCATCATTTGATAGAAAAAAAAAAAAACAGGTAAACTGTGACAATTCTCATCCTCTTTTTGTTTTTCCTTCATTGCCATCTCTTCTGGGAATAAGGGTATTTATAATATTTCGCAGAGGTTCATTCCTGGCATGAGGGTCTAAGCCAGGCCAGCAGCTTATGTCAGTTTCATTCAATTCCTGGGAATTCATGGGTACCTCTGTCTTCTCTGTCTTACCTGGTCCTGTAACTGGCTTCTGAGGGAATCCCCAGTGAAGTTTGAGCTACCCAGTCCTGAGAGCTTGGGCAAGTACTTTTCCATTTCTAAGCCTCAGTTGTCTTAATTCAATGTCAAGAAATTTTGGTTAAGAAATGAAGAGCTCAAGAAATAAATCAGATTTTTTTTTAAATAAAAGAGCTCTTCTAGAGCTATCAGTCAATGGTTCTAAGACAATTGCGTCCTTTCTGAGGTCTTTAGCACAAAGCCACTAGAGTTACTCTTTCATTTCAAGAGAGGATCCAGTGACACTGTCCCTGACCTCACCCTTCCTGATAACCACTTGGCAACTCAACACCAAGAGCTTCTGGTTCTTAGCAACCTGTTTCAATTCTTGATGTTCTTCACTGTTGGACTTCCGCATTTCTAGGGATCCTGATTTCCAGGTTAAAGAATCATAATGATTACAGCTGCAAGCTGGGCCAAAGTGAAGGTAAGCGGCCACATGCTTGGTCTTTTCTATGCTCAAGGCTGCCTCCCTTTAGCTGACTGTATCTTCACCTGGATTACCAAATTTGAAGTCAAATTTCCCTCTAGTCTCTAAAGAATTTAAATTGGGCGTCACAGAGCTGTGGATGCTCTCTTGCTCCAGCTCAGCAGCAGCGGAGGCAGCAGGAGCCTTCAGCACAGAACAAACTTGTTCTTCCAGCAGCTGCCGTAGTCTGGCTTGGGACCAGGGACTGAATGTGAGCTCTAACAGTTCTATGACACTGTGGGTCTGAAATGTTATGACTGTGTTTTCCACGGCATATGAAATTACATTCTAGCTCACCAGCTCACCAACTGGTCTGAGCAGGTTTACCTGTTTACCTGTTATTCCCTGGGCAAAGGGAGGTTACTTCTCATTTAATCCCTTATTGGGAGCACAATAGTACTATAATAAAATGAACAAATGAGCTTGGTTTCAGAAGGCCTAGATCTGAACCTTGGCTGAGCCACTTAGGAGTTTCATAAACTTCAGCTTCCTGATCTGATCTGCCTTGGCCAACACACAGGCCAAGCAGTTTGTGCTAGGCACATGGAAAGTGATGGTCACAGCACATCAGGGGGTGTGGAAGCAGCGGGCTCTGCCTTTCCCTGTCCCTCACTTCTCCCTGACTTGCTAGGGTGTCGTAGTTACCATAGAACATGATGTGGAAAATGCTAGAACAGCAGTTGGGTGAAGCAGGGCCACCAAATAAGTCCTGGCCTCCTGGAGACCTCTGGAAACCCAGGTGAGTATGGTCTGGGGTTGGGTCTCCCGCCCTGCTTGCTTCACTCAGTCCTACCCAGCGCTGCCTCTGAGGCCTAGCTCGGGGCCCTGAAACTCCCCCATGGGGCTTCCCTTCTCCCCAGCCCTTGCTCTTGGCACCTTGCCTGGCTACCATGGAAACAGGGTCCAGGGTAACAAAGGAGGGAGCTGGGTCCTGTTTCTTCCCAGTCCTGCCGATGAGGATTCTCAGACTATAGAGACTGAATTGTCCTGCACCTGCCTGTGCTCTTTCTGTGTTTTCACTGAGACTGAGCTCTAACTGCCACCTTTACCAGCAGGACCATGTGTACCAGTCTGACCACTTGTGAGTGGAAGAAAGTATTCTATGAGAAGATGGAGGTGGCAAAGCCAGCAGACAGCTGGGAGCTCATCATAGACCCCAACCTCAAGCCCAATGAGCTGGTCCCTGGCTGGAAGCAGTACCTGGAGCAGCATGCCTCAGGCAGGTGAGACGCAGAGTGGGGAGGAGCCTTGCAGGCAGCCCCTGGGTCACAGCTGTGGGGTACTTTCCAAGGAGAGACAGAGCACAGTCCTGGGGGCAGGCTCATTTTGGTGTCAGCTCAGATAAGGAAACAGACAAAAAATAGCCGTCTGGGTCACAGAGGTCTTGGTTTTAATCCTAGCCATACCACCAACTCCCTGGGTGACCCTGGGCAAGTCATGTTCCATCTTTGGGTCTTAGTTGTCCACATTAAATGAAGAACTCTAGTATCTCCTATGTCCCTGCAATCTCTGACATTTAAAGAATGAGTTGTAACTGAAGGAAGGAGGCAATGAGGTCCATTGGGGAAAGCCTTATTCTAGGAGTTGGGGGGCATGGGGGGTACAGCTATGCTCTGGTCCTAGATCTGTTTGGTGAATTAATCCAATTTGATCTGAATACAGAAACATTTATTGACCACCTGCTATGTGCTACAAACTGGCTTTACATAGCTAACTAGCCCTGTAAACTTGGCCAGTCCCTTTCCCGTTCTGGTTCTCACTTTCTATATTTACAAAATGTGGAGGTTGGTCTTAGATAATCGATCAGATCCATTCTAGCTCTATTATCTATGTACTTGTGATAAAAAGATTTAACGTTGAGCAAAATTTTCTTTAGGGACTTAGAACCCAAAGTCCCACTCTTTATTAGAGTTGCACATCTAACACAGCACAGAGAGTCCTTGACACCAAGGGGAAAAGGCCATCTAAAGTCCACATGCCTTTCCTCCTTTCAGATCATGATTTGGGACGGGGACTACAGAGATCCCTGGCCAGACTACCTCAAGTCCTTCTGCAGGGTCTGTGCAGGCCTTTTCCCTATGTCTTTGGATTGAAGAGAGGCCAGTAGGTGGCTGTGCTCTGGAGATACAGCCAGAACATGGACACAATGGCTGGGTTGCTCACACACATGTGTGTATGAAGCTTCTCATGGTGCAGAATGATGCTGAAGGTGGGAACAGAGGAGGCAAGATGTGGGCAGGGAGCTTACATTTGTACTCTTGCCCCAAGACCTGCAATTCTTGGGGTAAAGCTGTCTTGTGAAAAAAAAAAAGACAGAAAGGCAGAGGCTGATTCAGGTCAATTCCTTCAACTCAAGAAGCATCTGTTAGGTACCTGTTATGTGCTGGGTGCTGGCTCTGCCTGTGATTAGCTGTGTGTACATGGATGCCTCTCTTACTGTCTGTGCCTCAGTCTCTTCTCGGTGAAATAAAGTGCTGACTAGATGCTTCTTAACCTCTCCTGCCCGCAGATCTGATATTTTTAGAATTTAAGATGTGAGGCCTGGCTTCATGGAAGTGAAGCAACTCTGGGTTGGCTTGATGGAAAAAGGTATAGAAAGAGACTGAAAACAAAGCATTTGAACTGGCTGGCAGGAGGGGTGCAGAGGCCTGGAAACTTGAGTGCACAGAATCTGGAGTTTAGGGGCTGAGCTCAACAAGCTCATGTCTCCTCTTGCCTCAGGGTCAGCTTCTCTTACTCCTGGCTGGTGACTTGTGGCTCCCAGGTAGCCTCACAAAGGGCTGAAGAACTGCTGCCCATGAGCTTATTTATGTACAGGCTCACTTTGTCTCCAAACCAGCAGATGCCCTGCAGCTCTCGCCCAGCACTGGGGGCAGGGGAGCCTCTACTGGCTCAGTACCAATTAGGTTTCTCTGGCCTGCCAACCCTACCACCTTGGGCCATTCTGGGTACTGTTCTATCCTCATGTGATCAGACTCTCAGGGGTCAGGGACTGTCTTGGCCTCATCTCTATCCCACGTCCTGGGTTGAGTGGTGCTTAGCATATGGTAGGTGTTGAGTGATGTCTGTCGGATTGACTTGAGTTTCTCATCGGAAGTCCTTCAAGGCCATCAAACAATGGATCCAGACAGGGTCAGGGATGAGGACAGGGTCAGCCCAGTGGACACCTGACTGCCTCTGAAGCCTCTATAACAGAGGCCTGGAAGAGGCTCATCTCAAGGATGGAAAGAACTGCCCTGGAGGTAAGGAGTGCTGTGTCACTGAAGGTGTGCAAGCAGTGCTGGGGGTGGGGCTTGCCTAGATGAGCCCTCTACACTTCCTGTGGCTGAGACTCTAGAAAGCCCAGGTTAGGCCAAGTGGCCTGTGTACATGTAAGCGAGCGAGAGAGAGAAAGTTTGTGTGTGTGTACGTGTGTGTGTGTGTGAGCGCGTGTAAGGAGTGGCAATGGGGATGAGTACCCACTTTTTCAGTCCCCACTGCATGGCTAGACTGAAATCTAGAGATGACTTGTCAAGAGTCTGGGGAGTATTCTTTGTGAAGACTGGCTTACTGAGAACCTACAATGTTCCAGAGTCTGTGCTTGGCACTGCTGGAGGCAGCTCTTCTCCCCCGAGTAAGCAAGATGCACAAGTTAGATGGTGCAGGTCATCCTTCTTATCAGAATCACAGGAGGCGACAGAGAAAGGACTCTTTTTTTTTTTTTTTTTTTTAGGTGGAGTCTCACTCTGTTGCCCAGGTTGGAGTGCAGTGGTGCGATCTTGGCTCACCACAACCTCTACCTCCCAGGTTCAAGTGATTCTCCTGCCTCAGAATCCTGAGTAGCTTGGAACACAAGCATGTGCTACCACATCTGGCTAATTTTTGTATTTTTAGTAGAAACTGGGTTTCACTATGTTGGCCAGGCTGGTCTCGAACTCCTGACCTAGTGATCCACCCACCTCGGCCTCCCAAAGTGCTGGGATTACTGGCTTGAGCCACCGTGTCTGGCAGAGGAAGGACTCTTATTGGACACCAACACACTGCATTTCACAGATGAGAAATAAAGCCGAGACAGGGGAATGACTCTACACCGTGCCCAGGTGCCAACCCTGAGTGCACTGGGCTTGAGGGCAGCTAAGACTGCAGGAGGCACGCTCTAGGGCACTGCTGGATGCCAGAAGGCTCCGGCACTGGCTCCTGAGGATGCTACTCGGGTCTCAGGGGTGCTAACCAGGAGGAGGCGATAGCAGGCAGACCTTGGAATGCTAATGAATCCACAGGGCAGTAAACACTCTGCCTCCATCTCTAAGCAAGGGCACACAGGCCTTCCCCGCCCCGCCCCCAGAGCTCTTCAGGGCAGGCTGTGGCTGGGATGCCTACCTTCTGCACCTCCTCCTCCTGGCAGGTTCCACTGCTCCTGGTGCTGGCACACCTGGCAGTCTGCCCACGTGGTCATCCTCTTCCATATGCATCTGGACCATGCCCGGCGGATGGGCTCGGTGCGCATGCGCGTCTTCAAGCAGCTGTGCTATGAGTGCGGCACAGCGCGGCTGGACGAGTCCAGCATGCTGGAGGAGAACATCGAGGGCCTGGTGGACAACCTCATCACCAGCCTGCGAGAGCAGTGCTACGGCGAGGACGGCGGCCAGTACCGCATCCACGTGGCCAGCCGCCCGGACAGAGGGCCGCATCGTGCAGAGTTCTGCGAGGCCTGCCAGGAGGGCATCGTGCACTGGAAGCCCAGCGAGAAGCTGCTGGAGGAGGAGGCGACCACCGACACCTTCTCGGAAGCCTCCAGGCCCAGGGCCCAGTCGGGATCCGGCTACAACTTCTTCTCTCTTCGCTGGTGCTTCTTCTGGGCCTCTCTCTGCCTGCTCCTTGGCTACCTGCAGTTCTCCTTCCGCAGCTCCGCCTTCCTTTAGTGGAGCTGGTTCGGGTGGGAGAGGGCACATGGGGTTGAGAGTGGGGAGGACACTGGCTGGTCTCGATCCTGCTACAGATTCAACATACGACCTCTCTGGGCCTCAGTTTATTCATCTGTGGAATGAGGGGATTGTATTAGAAGATATGTAATGATTCTTTCATTGGATTTGACAATAATGGGGGAAGGGGAAAAAGGTGTATGTAATAAAGGTTTTAGAACGTGTCAGGATTGGTGCTGGTACTAAGTCAACAGGGAGGGACCTGCTTCCTTTCCCTCCTCCACCTCCAACTCTACCCCTCCTTTTGCTTCGTTTCCATGTAGCACCGCCATTATGACCCCATTACGTTCTGTCTTAACCCTGCCTCATCCTTAAGCTCACGTTCAGCAGCCCCTGCCCATCCTGCCTTGCTTCCTTTTTGAGAGGGCAGTGGACCCGTTCAACACTTAGGAACGAGGTACCTGGTCTTCTCCGGGAGAGCCTGCTCCCACCGTTCTGAAACAGCTTTTTCACTCTGGTGCTAGGGGCTGCTTGACTGGAATTGTCTAGATTTGCATGGTCCAATATGTTGGCCACTAGCCATACATGGCTATTTCAATTTAATCAAAATGAAATAACATTAAAATTCAGTTCCTCAGTGGCACCAGTCCCATATCAAATGCACAGTACCCATATGTGGTTAGTGGCTAACATATTGCAATGTACAGATATAGAATGTCATTACAGAAATTTCTGTTGCTGAACTTTAGTCCAGAGCTTGAAATTCCCACTTAAATGTATGTGGACTTATACTATTAAGAGGTGGGCACAGGTTTAAAGGTGCAGCACGAAGACTTCAGGGGGCAGGTAAAAGTGGGGTGTGGTGTGGTAAAGGTAGTTAAATACTGTAAACAGATGACCTCTGTGCTTGGCTCTCAGTTGAGTAGAATCTGCAGGTTCTAGAGTTGTCTTATCTTATTTCCTGGGAGGATATGGAAAGTGCGTCTGAGCTGGGTGCAGTGGGTCACGTCTGTAATCCCAGCACTTTGGGAGGCTGAGGCAGGAGGATCACGAAGTCAGGTATTCAAGACCAGCCTGACCAACATGGTGAAACCCATCTCTACTAAAAATACAAAAATTAGCTCGGCGTGTTGGCACGTACCTGTGGTCCCAGCTACTTGGGAGGCAGGAGAATTGCTTGAACCCAGGAGGTGGAGGTTGCAGTGAGCCAAGACTGCGCCACTGCACTCCAGCCTGGGTGACAGGGAAAGACTCCATCTTGGAGAAAAGAAAGAAAGAGAGAGAGAGAGAGAGAGAGAGAAAGAAAGAAAGAAAGAAAGAAAGAAAGAAAGAAAGAAAGAAAGAAAGAAAGAAAGAAAGAAAGAAGAAAGAAAGAAAGAAAGAAGGAAGAAAGAAAGAGAAAGAAAAACGAAAAGAAAGTAGGTCTGGTCAACTGGGTTTGGAAGAGTAGACCATAGGAATGCGGTGCCAATTGCCACTGTCGATTGGTTACAGTCCTTTTCTTGGGTTCAGATACCATAAGTGTTACATCTATGTCTTTTTTTTTTTTTTTTAAGACATGATCTCATTCTGTTGCCCAGGCTGAAGTGCAGTAGTGCCATCACAGCTCACCGCAGCTTTGAATGCTCAGGGTCAGGTCATCCCTCACCTCAGCCTCACAAGTAGCTGCGACCACAGGGGCACCACAGTGTGCCTGGAATTACCGTATTTTTTGTAGAGATGGGGTTTCTCTATGTTGCCCAGGTTGGTATTGAGATCCTGGGCTTAAGCATCTGTCCTCCTTGGCCTCCCAAAGTGCTGGGACTATGGGCATGAGTCACCACTCCGGCCTATCACTGTGTCTTGAAGGAAGTACAAGTTTGAGACAGAAAATTTTGTTTAAAAATAGGTTGTCAAGGAAATGGAAGGTTGAGACAAGCATTGGAAACCAAGGTGGATTGCTAAGTAGGAGTCGGAGAACCAAGTAAAGTGAAGACAGGATCAGGAGTACAGAGAGCATAAACACTACATCTTCAGCAAGGCCACCTTCCTTATGGAGTATTAGGTTGGGCCTGCATTTCTTGAGCTGGGCAAGGTCATAAAATGTTTTAATTCAGGATGCCCCTCAGGTCATATTCCCTGACTACTTTTCTTGGTAGTGCTCTCATAGGGAGTCAGTCCTAGACTTGTGATGTTGCTAGCACTTCCTCATAAACTTCCTTAGTATCCTGTAGAATGTGATGAAGGCTGTGAAGTGTACTAAGGCTGGCAGAATATTTCTAGAAGGCCCTGTATTAGCCATCCACCATCCCAACCTGAACATGGAAGTCCATGCCACGGGAGGCGTGGCTGCATGATACCCTGACATCAGAGATGAGTCCCAGTCAGGCAAAACTTAGCTGCAAGGAGGCTGCAAGAATCTCAGCAGAGGCGCAACTTCTGGCTATTCTTTTTCAGTGAAAGTAGCAGTCCCCCAAAAGGCAGCTAGGGGACCTGTTAAAATTCATTGCAAGATGATAGCTCAGTATGCGTGTCTTGGTTTGGCGGGTGCTTGCAGAGGAGATGGAAAGTGCATCTGGGCAACTGGGTCTGGGATAGGAAGCAGATCATAGGGGAGATCATACACGTGTTTTTTTTTTTTTTTTTTTGAGATGGGTTCTTACTCTGTTGCCCCCACTGTAGTGCAATGACATGATCTCGGCTCACTGCAACCTCAGCCTCCTGGGTTCAAGCAATTCTCCTACCTCAGCCTCCTGAGTACTGAGTAGCTGGGACTATAGGCGTGTGCCACCACACCGGGCTGATTTTTTTTTATTTTTAGAAGAAACAGGGTTTCACCATGTTGGCCAGGCTGGTCTTGAACTCCTGACCTCAAGCAATCCTCCCTCCTTGGCCTCCCGAAGTGCTGGGATTACAGACGTGAGCCACCGCCTCCAGCCAGCCCAGACACATGTTTTAAAGTGTGTTTATACATTCCTGTGCTCGGCGGAGATGTGGTAGGACACAGCAGAACTAGCTACCTACGATGCAGGGAGATGCTCCTCTGCCATTCTGTAGGAAAACACATTGTGGCAAATTTGATACTAGTTCCTGGAGATGGTGAAAGAAGGGACAGATGAGGAAGACCTGCAGATGTGGATCTTCTAGGTGAGGGCAGGGCTGTGTGTCTCCATGCAGGAGAGGCCATGCCCAAGGGAGGTGTGAGCAAGTGGAGGCAGACAGCACCTGTCCCCAGCACCTTCCCCTTTGGCCAGTCCATGAGACCACCCCATCAGGGTGAATGCATTTGCTGTGCCCATTCCCTCTGGCACAGCTGTGAGGCAGGCAGTTTGACTCATGAGCTGGGGTTCAGATGACACTGTGTTAATCATTGTCTGGAATTAGAAACAGAAACTCTCCTATTCACACCCACCTCCAGAGCCTCTGTCCCAAGTGGGACCTGAGAGCTGAAGGTGAGGTTCAGGAGTGGAGTGTTTGGTGGGATGTGTTCTCAGAGAGGGGCTGCTTTGACTACTGTGCCCCACCTACTGTCTGCATCCTCAGGCTGGCTTACTCTTCTCCAGCGCTGGCAAAGGAATCCCGATGGCTCATAAGATTTCTCTGTGGACCTGTAAGAGCAAAGAATGAGGCAATCTGGAAGAACCTCTGCTTTTATTTGGTTGGGTGCAGCAAAAGAGTACAAGAAGAGCATCAGGCCAGAGTGGCTGTGAATTAGCAGGCATGTGAGGTTCCGGATTCACTTTCATCAGCCGCAGATGATGCTCAGTGGTGCCAACGCAGGGTGTGTGCCCCTCGGGGCCATTGCCCCACTGCAGAGGCATGGTGGTTTCTGGGAAAATGTATGTCAAGGAGGCTGGGAGTCAAGTGATCTCCAGAGAACTTGGCCAACCCTGGGAATCTTAAGGAACATGAAGGGATGGGATTGGGATGAAGTGACATCAGTAGCATCTCCTGCTGAAAATGTAGTTTATGGGGCTAGGGATAAACAGCCAAGATTGTGTCAAGGGAGAGATCATGCCTCAGAGGGTAACAAGGCTGGGGCATCTGAGGTGAGGACTGTGAGTTAGGGGATGATGAACCACTGAAAATGGAAGTGAGGACAAGGGGTCTAGAACATATGAAAAGAGACGGCGTCTGGGAAGATGAAAGATAAACATATTCTACTTCTTCTCTACCAGCTCAGTTTCTCAGCATATACATATACCTGTGTCTTTTCCGTAGTTAACTAGAATGGCACTTCTCTGACTCCACATTCCCCTTGGACTATTGCCTTTTCGTTAAAAACTCTGGTTTCTCAGAGGAGTAGAATACATTTATCCCCACCTCTTTATTTACTCCCAAATCCACAGAAATCCCATTTTCATGCTTCTGAAACTGCCACTAAACACTGCATTGCAAAGCCATTGGCCACTTGTGTGTGGTCATCTTACTTGATGTGTCTGCTGCGTCTTATACTCCCTCCTTGAAGATTCCAGAGCAGTACTTGCTCCTCCATCTGCTATTTCATTTCTCTCTTCACTGCAGTATTCTTGGTGGGAGCTTTTCCCTCACCCATCCTGCTCTCCTCATCTCACTTTGTTCATTTCCCTCGGTAACACACTCACTCATAACTTCCAACATTTCCACCCTATAGGAACTCCTGGTCTTCATGGATTCTCTAAGCATTTCCTCTGAGCTCGAGACCCACAGACCAATCGACCTGTTCACGGAGCACTCCCATCAAAGGAGACATGGAGAAAGCTGGATTTGTCATTTTGTCATCCAAACCCGCTTCTCTTACTTCTCAGAAACCTGGATACTGTCCCCTGATCCTCCTTCACGGGCCTACCCAACCCCACGATAATTGGTCACCATGTCCCACATCCTATTGGTTGCTCTTCCTAAGTACCTCTGGGGTCGGTCTCCTTTCTTTCCTTCCCTATGCTGCTGCTGCCAAACCCAATCATGGAGTGTCTCTTGCCTTAGTAGCCTCTTCAATAATCTTTATACCTGTAGCCTGTTTCCTTACAATCCACTCTCCACTCTGCCACCGTCCCAGGGTGATTTTCTAATTAGCAGGTATCATCCGCACAGGCCTGTGCTTAGACTCTTCCAGAGCTCCCTGCTGCTACTGGATCAAACTTAGTCTCATTAGCCAGGCACACTTCATTTCCAGATAATATGAAAATAACATTTGTTGAGAGGGAGCTCCATAAACATTGGCTTTAATATTATTTACTGTGCATGAGGTGCTGTGCTAAGCACTT